GGGGGCGGGGGGAAGAGACATATGTACTACTATTTGTAATACCTTAAACAATAAAATAAAAAAATATTTAAAAAACCAAAAAACCAAAAAAAAACACACCCCAAAACAAACCAAACCAAAATCAAAACCAAAACCAAAACAAACAAACAAAAAGGCAGAGGCAAGGAGGCCCAGAGAGGTTGAGAGTTGCCAGAGGATACACAGCTCAGTGGGGAATTCATCTCCCCTCCCTGATTCCTACCCCAAACACCTGTTATCCTAGCTCCAAGCAGGGAGGAAAAGTAAGGGACTGGTTCTGTCAGTGTCCCTTGCCCTACTGCTCATGGGAGTATATTCAACTTCTTGACCCTGGGAGATTTGGGCTGCTCTCCTCCTGCCTCCCTTGAGGGTGGTACCATGCCCTCTCCTTTGGGGTCCTGGGAACACAGACTGGTGAGAGTCCCAGCTCTAGCCCTGGCAGCTGTGTGAGGAGCCCAGCCAGTACCATCTCTCTCCTTCCCTCAGGCAAGTCTCTCTCCTTTCTGCCCTCCCTCCCCTCCGCCCCAAGTAGTTGAGGAGGGACAGTCTCTAAAGTCAACCCCTCAGTACTCCCTCAGTCCTAGCATTTGACTAACATTTCCAAGTTTCACTTGTGGTTGTTGGTCCCAGTAGCCTGAGGTGGTGAAACAAGGAGGGGACTATGTGAAGTGATTTGAGGACCCCTCCCTCCGCTGGCTCCTTCTGAATCAAGCATGAGGCTCCTTGTGGACTGGGAAGACGGGAATGCTGGGATGCTCCATGGTCCTAGTGGGGCTTTTGTTGAATACATACTTCTATGTCCAGTCAGATGGGATGTGTCCTCCACCCCCTCCAGCTCCCTGCAGAGTGGCTGCACCCTTCTGGGAGGCTCTGCTGTAAAGCAGAGGGCCGGGGGTCTCAGGCGATAGTCCAAGCCCACTGTTTCTCTTTGCCCCCCTCACCTTTCCAGCGTCTGGGCACCGCCTGAGGAACCAGGTCTTTCTAGTTCCTGAAGTGCGCAGGCACCGTGGTTGGGCAGGAACCTTCTTCCTGCCCTCCCATCCACTTTGCCCAGCACAGGATCTCCACGCAGCACACAGTCTGCGGTGTATGACAAGAAAACAGGTTGTCCCCACACCCACTCTGCCACCTGTGCCCCCCACCCAGACCTGCCAGGGGGCAATGAGGCCGTGGGCTGGGAGGTGGGACTGCAGCAGGGCTGGGCGCTCTCTCCACAACCCATTGCCCAATGCGCCTTCACTTACCACCTGCATGGTCTGGGCCCTGGGGCCTTGGCTTACAACAGGGGCCTGGGACAAACCCCACAGAACAGAGCCCCATTGATAGCGGCCACCAGG